AGTCTCATCCTCTTCACCTTCCCATGCTCAAGCTGTGGGCTGAGGAGATGCTTCTGTCCTTAAACCTTCTCATCCCAATCCATCACAATATATGCCTCCAAATATCGATTAATATTAAGTTGTCTGTCAAATCAAAGAAGGGTTTTGGTAGTTTTCCTTGAGTATTTTGGATATTCTTCTCTATCCAAATATGGAAAAACAACAGCATTCCAGTCGCCCGTCAAACAATAACTTTGATAGGAAAATTGTAGTTGATCCATCAAATGTTTGTAAAAAGATCCCTTATTTTCATTTGGTGCATAGAGTCCCAAAATAAGTTTTTTGTTCTTGAAGTTCGATTTCTACCTCCACAAATCCACCAGTTGGATCTACTATTATTAACCGAGGGGATTGATGCATAAAACTACTCCATTCGTTTTTTTTGGTCCCACCAAGATAAATTCCTGTCTTAACTTTGTAGAAATTAAATGTTTTGTATCTTTGTTTCTAATATGTGCTTCCTGGAGACAAATAATATAGTGTTTTAGTTTTTTCAGATGATGAAATATTTTTTTCCTTTTTTGAGGAGAATTTGCCCCATTTATGTTCCATGTCAGAAATCTGTAATGCATATTTATTTGAATAGTTTTGAAAAGTTCGTACTTGTATCCCCCTGTTCTGTATCAGGGTTATCTCCCTCTAATATTTCTCCAGTTTGTTTCTTGGTTTGTCTCGTACTTTCTTCAGGTGTCTGATGTACTCTTTTTAAAATTTCTCCAGAAAATCTCTTGCCTTTTGTCCTGTATTCAAACAATATTTCCTTTGTTGAAAGAAAAAATTTATCCCCTCTAGTTTCTCCCATCTAAATGGAATCCCTTTTTGTTTCAATAAGTCAGTCAAAAAGAAATAGTCTTTTCTTTTGAGAAGAATTCTAAGTGGGATCTCTTTCATTACAATTACATCAACTTGATCAATTTTTAATTTATTATTATAGTGGCATTGTAATACACTTGATCCCTTAAATGCACCAATACATCTCTTGGGACTCACCTTATGTTTGCAAAACGTGTATTCACCCGATATATTTTATCAATGCCATGTTCCAGGCCAACTGCCTGTACATCTGTTAAGTCTGCCAGAGCCTGGACTACTTTATCATAGATATTTTCTTCTGGGTCTTCAGGGATTGCTCTCAACCTCAAAGAGTATTCTTTCTGTCTTAATTCCAGTATTGCTAGGTTGTCCAGGGCTCTTTCCAGTTCCATATCTGTAGCTCTCATTTTGTTCTCAATTGTTTGGACTCTGTCGTTGGTTTTCTTTATTTCTCCTGATATTTGTTTAACATTTTCATTCACTTGTTTTACAAATTTATCCATCTTGTCCAATTTCTTTTCCATCTGTTTTTCAAACATCTGAAATTTAGTATCTAATTGTGTATCCAGTGTTTGGGTTAATTTAGTTTCTAATTCCTCAGACATGGCTTTAATCAATGTGGGAGTGACTGAGGTTTCTTCTTTCTTCTTCTCTAGTGGCTGTTCTATGGAGGACCGTCTCATCTCTATTCGGGCTTTCTGTGTGGCCATTATGAAAAAAAAATACTGTAAAATATACCTTGCTATTTAGCTACTACCACCACTAGGTGTCAGCAAAGAGTCTTAAACAAAGTCACTATTTACTATTCAAAACATATTTTCATTCTTATCCAGATTCACTATATCAGCAAGCAAGGTGACTCATGGGAGTTGAAGTAAAACTGTTTAAAGGTTGACGACTAAAGGTTCATCAAAAGTAAACTCACATATATTTATAATATTTATTTATAATTCCCTGAAATATTTTTAAATCCTTTCTTTTTTCCTTTTCTAGATTGTTAAAGTTCTGGTCTCAGATTTTTTTTATATATCTTATTTTTGCCCTTATCGAAAAGAGAGCCAGTTTTTATTTAGTTCAGGATCAATTGTAATCCTCTGGAAAAGCAAATTGCACAAGTGACAGCATCTGTCCTTTGCATAAGAAAAGCCTCTCATCTTAATACTTTTGTGGTTCCAAAGTGATTAAGAAACACCGGTAGGCAGCTCTAATGATCGTAAGATTGCATCCCAGCCTGCAACAGATGGCAGTCCTCCTCCCTTGGCTGCTCAGCCCACAGGCATGTTGGAGCATTTGTCCACGCTTTACCTGCAAGGAGTGGTCATATGGGGCTCCAGAGGAAAGTTTTATGTCCCCCCCTTAATCCAGAGGGGTTTGGTTCACTTTACCAATATAACAGTAAGTGCTAGGGGCAGGGATGTCATCTCCGCCCAAGGGGCAATCCTTACGGAGATGTACGAGCAGTCATAACTAGAACTGGAAGCCATTCCTTACTTAATTTATGATTGTTATGTTTTACTCTCGGAGAAAGGCACTTGTTGAATTTCTTATTTCAGATGCCAGAATCATTGCACCAGACTTGAATATGATCCATTTTTATTGGGAAAGCTAAACCATTTGGTATTCAGCTTCTGGTTGCTGAAGACTTTAATCTTATGTAGGTGGAATGATGTTTGGTTGAAATTATCTTTCTTTTTAAGGCCTGAACAAGAAGACAAGCCACAAGGCATGGGCTCCCGTATTAATTCAGCAAGGAATCGAGTGGGGCGAATGACTGACAGCAGTGTCTTCTCATTATCTCGAGTGTTACCTGGATCCTCTAAGAAAACAGTGGGCCATCGTAGGTTACCATCAATAGCTCCAGACCAACTACGCTTAAAGACTCCCAATGTTTACAGTGATGAGGTCCTGCGAGGAACAAAATTGTATGGCTTTATTTCTGTTCTTTGCTACTGTGGCTTCATTAGCATGTTGAGTTCAGATGATAGGATGTGGACAGGACTGAGAAACTTTTGTGATTACGTGACACAAACACTGCATTTGGAAGAGAACTATATATTCTGAAAATTTTATTTATTTTATCCGTCAAGGTGTGAAAATAAGATTCATTGTGATCTTAGAAAACAGAAATGAATCTAAAGAGTATAAGTGAGTTTGCAAAATTTACTCATTTTTAGCGCTGCAATAAATTTGGCTCGATGCAGGTTTTTTTATTTTTGTACTTGTAGCACAGGGTAGATGTGTGACGAATAATGAATGTGTAAGAGTAATGAAAGAATTCTGTATAACAGGTAAGAGTAACTAAAGGAGTAAGATACAGATTTTTAAGTGGGAAGATATATATTATTAAGATTGTGTAATTTAAGTGGATGTCTTGTGCTTCAAAGAGAATCCGCCTTCCCCAGTCTGGCACCCTCCAGATGTGCTAGGACTACAATATCCAGACTTTCCAGAAGTGCAGTTTCTTGGAAGTCACCGTATTGGGGAAGACTGACTTAATATTTCTGTGTACGCAGCAGAACTGTTATTCATTCATCCAACTGTGTTAAGAAGAACAATTCTTGTAGCAGTTTAAGGAACTGAAATAAGAGTTAACTCCTATGTCCACACTGCTTCCCTGCAGATGCACTACCTTAGATCGCTTGTCATCTCCGTTTACACCTGCTGTCCGGAACAAGTTGCCACCCATAAATTCAGACACCATTGATCAATATCTTTCAGTTCCTGGATTACGGCTAAGCTTTGTAAGATAACTAATTTATTTGTGTGCATGAATGAATGTATATACTTGTCTTTATATCTCTTTCTCTCTCTATCTAGAATGTATAAATAAAACCAGTTTGATTCAAATTCAGTGTGAACAGGTATTTGATGCCATCAAAAATTTTAATCAAATCTTTGTACAATTCCAAAAGGTATACGTGCACCCACGCATTTGTACAGTGGTACCTCTACTTACGAACTTAATCCGTTCCGTGACTCTGATCGCAAGTCGAGTTGGTCGCA